CACATCTGATAATATTATCATACCTCAATATAAACAAGCTGAAAAAGAACCGTCTGAAGCAGGATTTATCCAAGTACTACAACTTTAAGAAACATTCACGAGAGACGATATTATAAATGATTTTCTATCTCCAGAAAATAAAAATATTAGAGAATGGTATGTTAAAGAATTTAAACCTAGATTAAATGGATCTTTGCTTTCTCTCATATTCGCCATTAGCTTTTTCCCATTAGTTTCCCTGCCACCTGAAAATTGTAGAGAAAATGCCCAAGAAAACTATTTAATTTAGGTTGAAGTTTCTGTAAGGCCTAGGTTTATGAAAACAAAATAAAGCCGCATATCAAATCCTCGTCTGCAAAACACTTTCGGCAATGAAAACATCTGTGATGGCTCTAAAATCAATTTCCTGAACCGACAATAAAATTTGAAACTCAATAAATGATATCCGATCTTGCTGATCTTTGAAAACTTATTTTAGTGTGAAATGGGTGGTCTAGATAATTTGTTATAATATACACTATTTTTAGACCTTAAAATCCTCATTTTTTTTTTACAACCATGATTTTCAAGCCGAGATGATCCTGGTAACGGTTTTTCAATGCTTGAATTGCAATTTTTGATGAGTTACAAGATGATGGTTTACTTAATCTACAGGGTTGTAGCCCTATCAAACCATTTTACTTTAAATTATGCAATCATTGTCATATATATATAAATATATATATATATATATATAGGAAAAGTCTTCCCAACCCCTTTAGGTGAAAATGAACAGTAATTTCGTTATGTTCATCACCGTCCAAAGTTCATCGTACGGTCACGATTGTCTAGTAATTTCATGTTTTTTCTACAAATCGGAATGATCTGAAATTTGGAGTGTGTGTACATTTTAGTGAGACGCACCTAATAAAAATATATAAAAAATAATTAACAAAAAATAAATTGACCAAAATATCCTTGAAACTTTTTCGGATTATTTTGGTCAATTTATTTCATGTAAAATATTTTTTTGATATTTTTCGTAGATTCCCTATTTTTTATGAACATACGCTCCAAATTTCAGATCATTCCGATTTGTAGAAAAAATAAAAAATGAAACACTATCAGACAATCGTGACCATGCGATGATCTTTGGACGGTGATGAGGGTAGGCGAAATCACTGTTCTTTTTTACCTATAGGCGTTTTATAGTATCTTCCATATATATATATATATATATATATGACAAAATTGTCCTCATTTTATTTTAATGTTAAATTTAGGATTTTTTCTGGGGAAAGTATATAATGAGACCATTCACATCTAATCTTGACCATTAGATGTGAAATTGGGTGGCTGCATTTATTTCATTGACTAAGCTCAAAGTTCAAAAATATTTTCTCAAACTTTGTGACACACCCAAGCTATCAGATTTCACATCAGATGGTTGTAAGTAATTGTGACCACCCTGTACAAAATGTAAATGGTCTCATTGTATACAATCCTTTTTTTAGGGTCTTTAAAGTTTTATTTTGGGATTTTAAGATTATTATTTTTATATATTTTTAGAATCCAAGTATTTAGGGAAGTAGTATAGAATTTTTTATTTGATCAAGGGTAAAATTTTGTTTTAATTAAGGCTTTTATTTCAATTAGAATTAGAATTTGATTCTATTAGGGTTTTTTTAGAGAGTTGAGTTTTGAGATATGTTTTCTAGTTTAACTAGTGTAGAGCCATTAAAGCATGTAGGTTTCCCTTATCATTTTTATGAAATTCCTTCTATGTCAATTAGTGTCATAGCATAAGGTTCGTGATGTTGGTGACTTCTGCCTAGGATTTGTGATCTCGGTGATTTTCGCTTATGGTTTGTGATTTCAGTAAACATATGGCAGCAAGAAGGGATCAAAGAAAAGTAGCTCTTGTAGATCTATCCCTTCATACTAGAGATGAAGAGATTGAAGATCTCAGGTGGCAAGTTCAGCAGCTTGCGTGACAACTCACAAGTATCACTCATGGGCAATACGATGATCGTTCAACCTAAGAAGATGTCGAGTAGCACTCGTTTAACTGTCATTCTCTATTTGAAGAGTCGAGTGAAGAAGAGAGTGATGTAAGACCTAGAAGTAGAGTATATCATTATAAGGTTTTCAATTTGAAGGCGGACATTTCTGATTTTGACAAGTATAGTCTGACTTCAACTAGGGAAGTGTCATCTCTCTGCTTTGAGTACAATTTAGCTCATGATATTGAAGAGGCCAACCATAGAGAATCTTTATTTTTATCTAGTTGTTTCCAAAACCAGCAGGTTATAGACTAGGATTCACCACTAATCTTTGAAATGTACTAAGATGAATAAGAAGATATCTTAGGATATCCGATCTATGATAAGGTTTAATATGACGATGAAGATGTTTCAAAAGAGGATCTTGCTTATGAAGAATATCGTGAGTAAGCAGCACGAGAACTGATCAAAGTCGAGGCCATTGAAGATGTTGGTCTAAAAATCCATCTGCCTAGCACCTAGGTGCCCAAAGGAGCCCTAGGGTGCATGCCTAGGCATAGTTAGCCTCCCTGGGAGCCGGTACCTTACCTAGGCAAGTGCCTACTGCCCAGTCTTGGGCAGTCGGCCAAGGAATAATCACATTTTTGTGTAATAAAAGTGGCCCCTAAGCACATTTTGGATCATTTTGACCCACGAAATTGTCTTAAAAGAGCAATGGGGATATTTCAAACCCCAAAGTTGTTTTTTTTTTTTTTGAAAAGACAAATCTAAGCCCTACAATTTGGTTGCTTTTGATATGTACGGGACATTTGACTTGGTTTTATACCTTTTTTTTTTTTGTATTTCATCTTGTTTTTTATTTGTGCCATGATCCTGTGCCACTATGGAGTATGGATCGGAGAGTAGGAGACTAATACATCATAGACTTGTTTATGTTTTTTCACTATATTTTCAATAATTTGAAGTTTTGAACGTGTTTCAATTTTCGTAGATATATATCATGGAACAAAGTTAGAATATCTATAATGCAAAAGAATACATCTCTAACACAAATATTAGCATATTTATAAAGATTTTTTACCTCGGGGCACCTAAAGTTTGGGGTGCCTACCCAACGCTTGGGCACCGGGTGCCAGGCCGGCCACTTAGGGGCTATGCAACGTTTTTTGAAACACTATGTGAAGTCTCATGGATATCGAAGAGGTGGAGCATTCAAGAGATTTAGGACATTGGAATCAAAGTAGCGCAATGAAAGCATGATCGACTCATAAACAACAAATTGTGGCGTTGGATTCAGAGAATAATGAAATAGATGTCAAGAAATCCTCTAGAGGTCAGAAAATTGAGTTTGAAGGTTCCTGCATAATTTTAACAACAATTAAAGAATAGCTGAATTTAATGAATTTGTATCGATTGCTCAAAAAACGTATTAGGATCCGTTTATTTAGGATTTCTTTTTACTACAAATAATCTGGGAGCCAACAAAGAAGAAGAAAGCTGAAGAAGATGGTTTTAATGCTGAATTAATCTTAGCACACTTCAAAATTCAAAGGACAATTTTCTCCAACCAGGATGTTTGATGCAAAACAATATTATTCTTATTTTATGTTTTTGTTTAATTTCAAATGAAGTATATTTTAATTTTAATTTTAGAATTATTAATAGGGTTTTATTTATTTTGGTATTCTAGAGTTTTTTTTTTTTTTTTTTTCTATTTTTTTAGGATTTGAGGAGTTGTTTGGTAAAGTAGCTAGAGTACTTATAGAATTATTTGTTTTATTTGGGTAAAAATATCATTACAAATTTTATTTTAATTAGGGTCTTTTATTTCAATTGGAATTAGGACTTATTGAGTTCCAGGTGAAGTCTTTACAATAAATACGGATTCTATTAGGGTTTGCAAAGAGTTGAGTTTTGAGATTTCTTTTTTTTGGTTTAACCAGAGCAGAGCTATTGAATCCTAGCTTGTAGGCTTCCTCTTTAAGTTTTCCAATATATATATATATATATATATACTATTAGTGTTTGCAAAGAGTTGAGTTTTGAGATTTCTTTTTTTTGGTTTAACCAGAGCAGAGCTATTGAATCCTAGCTTGTAGGCTTCCTCTTTAAGTTTTCCAATATATATATATATATATATATTATTGTCATGATCATTATTATCTAAATCTTATTCTAAATATTTGTGATCAACTACACGAATCTCGTTCTGCCATTCCCCTCTATCAAGAGCCACACCCTTAGTCAAAACATAAGTCACCATATCTTTTCTTACTCTCGTTCATGTTGGAACCTTCCTTTGCCTTTTTAGATCTTTTCTCTAACCTTTTTAGAGCCTTTCACTTGAACCAAATCACCCATCCTAATGAATATTGTTCCGGGTTGACACTACACATGACCATACCAGTTAAATCTAATTTCCCTTATTTTATTACCTATTGTAGCTATTCTTAAGATCCCTATAATGTGTTCATTATGAATTCTATCTTTCCTTATCTTGCCAATCATCCATGTCAACCACATTATCTCTGCTACACTTATTCTATGGATATTGTTGTAAATTTTTACCACCCAACATTTCATCTCATCCCGTAAGGTATGGTTGATATTATATCCATCCTATAGAACTTTATCTTCAGTTTCATTAGCTTGGAACAATCACATAAAACTAGTACATCTCCACTTCATCCACCCAATTATAAATCTATGAACAATATCTTTTTCAAATCTTTTATTTCTCATAGAAGGTCGACCCAAGGTATAAAAAATAATCCCTTTTAGATACTTCTTGGCCATCAATCATCATTTTGGCTTCTGCTATTATTAAACTTGCATTCTATGTGTTCTATCTTAGTCTGGCTAATTTTAAAGCCTTCAAATTCTAAAGCATCCCTTCTAATTTCTAACTTTACTCTTACGCTCTCTAGTCTCATCAATTACAACTATGTCATCTCGAGAGAGAGAGAGAAGAGAGAGGAGCATAGTAATGCTAGAATGTGGAAGCATGAAGGTGGCCTATAGAAAGAACATTTATCTTCCAATAAAAGAAGTGGTTTTTTCACATTAGAAGTTGACCTTTTACTTACATGCATGGTGAGCAAGGTAACATATGAATTTACACTGTCAACAACCCTTTTGTCGAAACGACGAGATATCATTGCAATACATAGCGAGGATGAGGTTGGTTTCTAGGCATCATTAAATAATGATCATCAGGATCAAGTGGAGGTCTTGAGGTCCAAACTCAACGAACGCCATCTTTTACTGTTGCCTCACCCTAGTTTTTGTGAATGGATTTAACTCCTCCAAACCAGCTTGTAGATGTTCCTACTAGCCCCTGCACCAATTGCCTTACTCTGATTCCTTAGCATGTCTTCTTGAGCTCGGACATCACCCTCCTAAATCACATGAACGAAAAAAATATTTTTTTATATGCATTTAATCAGCATGACAAATAGAAAATATCCCTACCTAATAACAAATATACCACATGGATTGGCACTCAAAATAAAAATATTCAGTGTTCGCAATTGATTTTCTATGCAATTGTGGAATCATGCATCTTATATGCACATACGTATAAAAAGTATAGAATAAGACTGTTTACTTTTGGTACAAGGAGGTTGTCATTTTTTGCCACTGGATGTGAAATTGGTTTACTATGAGTATATCATTGATAATGCTCAAAGTCCAAAAGAAAATTTATGAACATTATGACACACCAAGTTGTTGATTTCAAATTTGACAGTTTGGGATGACTGACCTTCTTGTACTAAAAGTAAATGATATTATAGTATATAATCCTATATATAACATGTAGTTATGCAAGAAAAAGCAGGGAGCTGTAGTGGATCATAGTATGGTCAGAAGCAAATTTCACTAAAACAAGCACACTCCAGAAATGCTCCAGGGATTTGAAAAATGTTGAAACACCAATGATTCTCTGTAATCATATAAGGAAACTTGAAAAGAATAGCCCCAACGAAAATTGGTGGAATTCTTGTAAATGGAAGTTTACTTTTACTGAGCAATCCAATTCCATGTAATCTGGGGTTACAAAGTGAGCCCCATGAAAGTCTGCTTAACATATAAGAGGCCATTTGTAGTTTCTTTCATACCAGGATAATGTTGAAGCCCAACCAAGGACCCAGATTGCTTCATTAGTTCCTAGAACAACCATGATACAGATTCAGATACAAATCAAGTACTCACAATCTCTGAGTAGGCACGTGCAAGAGAAAGAACTGTTGGATACATGTCTAGAACAGCAAGGGCAACCTCCTCTGTGACCTGTGGAACCTGTAAATTTGATTAATGGAACACTCGTCAAGTGTCCAGATGGAAACTCTCTCCCAAGCAAATCAAAGAGGAGGTTGAAAAGAGAGAATTGGTTATAAAAATAGCAAACACTGCCATATACATGCAGCATCTTGCACTTCAGCATCATGGCAAGACAATTTAAGAGACTATGACTTCTTATTGTAGAAATAGACATAAAAGTAGTTAGTCTTACATGTAATTATATATTTCTAGATGAGAATTCATTTCCTAATTTGCAACAATGAAAGCATTTTGTAGCGTTAAGCGGCTGAAGTGAGCAAACGGAAGCCAAAAGAATACATAAACCAGCATTTCCCATAAATAAGGGAACTAAAACAATCAAAGACAGAACAATCGGAAAACCAATGTATCATTTTAAGCTACAACCAAGAATCATTGGAATACATCAACATTTCTATAAATTGTCAGTTGCATCAACTAAGGACTTAGAAGTTTACCTGCATTAATTGAAGAGCAAACACATCACTAACTGTCATTTTCTCAAGATCTTGGCACGTTTTGATAAACTCTTCATACGAAGGACAGATTCTTTCGCTTTTATCAAAGCTATGGGAAGACTGTGTCGTGTAATAATGGGTTATTGCATGTGTCAAATGGCCATATTTCTTTACCGTATCAGCTACACTACTGGTTCTTTGCACATCAAAGCCTTCCAAAATTTCTGTTGTGAAGGCACTGGAATAAGCATTAGAATACAGTCAGACAAAACATAATAACAGAGGACAAAATAAACAAATTTTGCAACAAGTTACCCTAACCATTTAAACAGTTGGATAGTTTAGTTTTCTAAGTATAAAACATGCATTGTTTTGATTTAAAAAAAATACAGGTGTACTGATTAGACCTTCACAACTCTGCTCCCAAGATGGTCATTTCATAGAACAACTACCTAGAATATCATCATTACAAATACTGCTCATCTAATCCCCCATGAAGTAGTTTGGATATTATAAAATGCTCAATTTGATAGTTAAAGAAAAGTCGGTGCAGATTAGGAAAGGCCTTACGCTGTTTTGATGCTTTCGGCTGCTTCAGAGGAGTTTGGATCACCTTCTATCAGGTAAATCAGTTTCTGAAGTCCACATCTCTGCAGAATTTTTTTTTCATTAACACGTTATCATACACAAGTAGTAATCTATGTGCATCAGGCTATCCCTGGTCTCACTGTAACTAATCGTTATCTCAATATCTTAAATAGGATGTCCAGAAGAAGAAAAAAATTAGCCTTGAATTCCTAGGATGACCAACACTGGCTAAAAACTAATTCATGCTTCCAAAATGCGTGGACATCGCTAAATCCCCAAATAAGCAAATCAAGTTGTTCTTGCAGAACACCCACATATCATCTCAGTGAAAATCAATAAAAATGTTGAAACTGGTCAGATTTTTTTTTTAAATTTTGAAATGTTAACTGTCAATGAAACTGGTCAGATATTATGTACAACAATCAGCCTAAAATGGATAAAGTATTAAGGAAACAACCTACTTACATAATGTCAAGAAATACACGGTCCTCGCAGAAACAACCACAAATTAATATCTAGCATTCACAGGAGAAAACCAATACTATTGATTCCAGGTCAAGTGTCACAGAGTTTACGACACCACCAATCCACTCAATGTCCTCTCTCTATTTTATACAAACACACAACCCATGACAGCAGCAACTCCAAAATGCAAATGCACCCTTTTAGAAACATGACAGAGTCACCAAATTCCATAGAGAGACTGGGATTGGAACATTAAAGTAGTGTAAAATATTCAACACAGAGGAAAAAGAGAAGATGCAAAAGTAGGAGACAATAGAGGAGAAGGCTGCAATGGATAATCCAACCTAAATAGGATGTTCAAGCATCCTATAGAATGTCAACTCCAAGTATGCCCTCGGCAGAATTACAGAACTCCAAGTATGCCCTCGGCAGAATTGCAAGCATGCCCTTGCCAGTGCTTACATAAGAAAAAATAAAACAAAGATGGACATATCTTTACAAGTGTTCCACTGCAGTATTGACCACTGTTATATTGATCAGGATTATGCTATTTTGACCACAGTTAAATCTGTAATGAGGCAAAAAGGGAACCCTTCAGGCTCGATATCCAACAGATATTAAATAAAACCAGTGAGTATTTAAACTTGGACGTCTCATGCAGCTAATGCAGCAACAGTGATGAGTAAATAGGGTAGAAAGCACAGAAAAGAAAAATAGCGGTAAGGAGGAAAGAGGACGAGGCAATGGAACTTAGAAAAGATTTATGGCATTGAGGTTTGTGGCCTCTATCACAAGCAGTAGAGATTGAAATATGCAAAATCAGCATAAAAGAATCCCTCTAACCCAATAAAAAGAAAAAGATTTAAAAGCATACAAGCTCATATTTCAATAAGCTCATGTCTCACGTTTCAGTATTGATTAATTTTTAATGCATATTAACCATGCAAGCCAATCATATGTTATAATTTGAACTTGCTTTAAGCAGTTCTATGAAGAGATTAACTGTTAACTAGTGTAAATATATGTCTAAACCAAAATATAAAAGGACTAACCAAAAGCCTGAGTTTCTGATCTCTATAACGGTTGTCCCTAATGGAGGTGCGTAGGTCCTCAACTTTCTTTCTTTCAACAATAAAATCCAGCACATATTCCTTTTGTAGACACTTATGCCGAGCTATCCAGATCCCATCTCCAACAGGAAGACGTCGTATCTGAAATGAGAAAATGCCAACTATGTCAGGACAGTAGCTGATTCCAAGCTAAATTTAGTTTTGAAAACAAGAAAATACAAAAAAGCCCTTCCCCATTCATAAGAAACATATGTTGATTTCTGGGAGTGAAAAAATGGGGAATAAGATGATGCTCCCATCTTCTTTCCCCCTTCATAGGAAAACACTACAGTTACTGTACAGACAGTGGACCCAACAGTTCGGGGATCTAGATCTTGTGAAAAAGCAAATAAGATACAAATTCTAGGCAATGGCCTACCACATCGTGATAATAGAAAGAACAACGACTACTCAATTACCTTCTCAAAAAAATGTAATACAAATTCTAGGCAATGGCCTACCACATCGTGATAATAGAAAGAACAACCACTACTCAATTACCTTCTCAAAAAATGTAAGAATCTCCAGTCTACTATTTCATCCATGTGATTTCAACATTAAGCAAGTATTTAAAACAATATGGAGCATGAACTTCCATTTTCAAATAGATAAGCTCTCTCTCTCTCTCTGAGGTGGAAAGAGTTGCGCATGATTGGATTAAAGATTTTAGTATATCCATAGATATTTTTCAGTAAAATATATAGTGGATGATTGTATAAGTATATATAACTATAAGGCAGGTTGAGTCTCTCACTCAAAGAAACAGGCAAGAAATTTTTTTCAAATGTTTCAAACATATGTGTAGATGGACAGCTCTAACTCTTTATAGCGCAATTAAAAAGATTTTAAACTTGACATGAAAATGCAAGCACCAAACATTTCCATCATCATCATCATCATAGCCTTTTCCCAATTAATTAGGGTCGGCTACACGAATCCTGGTCTGCCGTTCTGCTCTATTAAAGGCCATACTCTCAGTGATGCCATAAGTCCCAATATCTTTTCAGGCTACTTCCAACCACATTCTTTTGGGCCTATCCCTTGCCCGTTTCAGTCCTGCTAATTGAACTAACTCGCACCTCCTAACAGGTGTTGTACTTGGTCGGTGCCACACATGGCCAGCACACCTAAGTCTATTGTCTTTCATCTTATCGCCTATTGGTGCCACACCTAAATTCTCCCAAATGGATGCATTTCGAATTCTATCCCTTCTTATCTTGCAACTCATCCATCTCAACATCCTCATCTCCTCTACACTCATTCTAGGGGTATATTGTTTTTTGTCCGCCCAACATTCCGCCCCATTGAGTAAAGCTGGTCTCAAAGCTATCCTAGAGAACTAGCTTTTCAGCTTCATTGGTATGCGGCGAGCAAATTTCAGTTGTACATCTCCACTTTGTGCACCCAACTCTAACTCTATGTGCGACATCTTCTTCAATCTCTCCATTTTTCTCGATTATTGACCCAAGACATCGAAAGTGCGGTCTTTTTGTACTTCTTGGCCGTCAATCTTAACTACTTCCTCATCTCTACTCCTATAATTACTAAACTTGCATTCCATATACTCTGTCTTACTCCAACTAATTTTAAAACCTTTGGATTCTAGAGCATCTCTCCAAAGTTCTAACTTTGATGCCAAGTTAAGTCGTTTATAATTAAGACAAAGAGGTACATGCTCAATGCTGACCCTTGATGTAAACCTATTGTCACTGAAAATTCATTTGTCTCTCCACTAGTTGTTAGTACACTAGTTACCGCTCCATTGTACATATCTCTCACCAAGTCAATGTAGTGTCTGAAGACTCTTTTCTTTCCAACACCAGCCAAATTAAATCTAGAGATACTCGATCATAAGCTCTCTAGATCAATAAAGACCATGAGAATGTCTTTTCCCTTCGCCCTAAACTTCTCAATCAATTGCCTAAGTAGGAGAACAACTTCAGTTGTTGACCTTCTTGGCACAAAGCCAAATTGGTTTTCAGGTACACTCGTTTCATGCCTTAGTCGTTGCTCACTAAATATTTCCATAAAAGTGACAAATAAATTATGCATAATATACATGTAAATATTTATTCCATGAACCTTAGAGTATAAGCTTTAATCTAAAACCAACTGAATATTGTTGGGAGATAGAGCAATTTTTTGCATATAAAATAGGGTATCTCAATCATTTGTATACAACAAGGGATGTTATGTAATTATGTAAATGCCTGAAGGGCATTAGCGCTGCTGTCATATAATTCTATATGAATTTAGGGAGCGCAAAACCCCAGAAAAGTCAGTGAGGTGAATTATTATGAAATGATTTCCAAATATATAGTACGAAACCAACCGAGTGGGGTCAAAACCTGAGAAACAAATGAGCAAATCTAACAATTAAGTAATTTAATGAACCTGTTCACAAAGATCTTATCTTTGACGTCCATAACGACTTAAGGCCTGTGTGACCTCAAATCCACTTCAAATCATGGGTTTGGAGAATTGGAAAAACCAAATCAGGTCTCAAACAAACCAAATGGAATATAGGAAGTGGCCATCAATAATGAAATAGTTACGGCATATAAATAGCCAAATGAATAAAGTACATTTGCTCCAATGCTTCTTCCTTGGCTGCTTCTTTAATGATTGCCCTTCTCAAGATTTCTAAAGCTAGAAGTAATTAGTTTGATAGCTCTAATATTAGAGTTTGGTACGGTGAAAATCTAGAGAGAAAAGAAAGTCGAGGGAGAAGAAGAATTCAGCAGTGAACACCCAAACCAAGAACAAATCACACGCTTGAAACACAGCGAAAGAAGCATAAACTAGGCACATTGTTCTTCAAGCGAAGCAAATTTTGTGATTCTCAATAAGAGTAAAAATTCAGTCTTCACATGAAGGCTTAATATCCCCCTTCTAGACATCAACATACACTACGATGCTGTAATCCCAGCAACATTTTATCGCACAAATAGTGTATGATCAGCTTAACTCCTTTTAAATCCAATACCTATCAAGGCTTCACTGAATTTCTCAAACTTTAGGCTCTTGGTAATTGTTCAAGTCCATATATCACATTTTTCAATTTGCACACCTTCACTGTCTCCCCTGAATCTAAAAACCTGGGGGCATGGCCATTTACTCTTCCTCATGAATATCTCGATGTAGAAAAGCATTTTCACATCTAGCTGATGCAAAGGGACCAAGAATTATTTGCCGCCAAAGAAAGAATTATTCTAATAGTATTTAACTTCGCTACTAGGGCAAAAGTTTCTCCATGATCTATACCCGAAGTCTGAGTAAAACCTTTTGCAACCAACCTCACCTTGTGTCTTTCAATTGTACCATCCGCTCTGCGTTTCACTATAAACACCAACTTGCATCCTACCACCTTCTTTCCATTCCTTTGGGAAGTTTAGTGATCTCCTAAGTGTTATTCTTTTTAAGAGTTGCATTTCCTCCCACATCACAGCCTTCCACTGAAGTTGTGATAGAGCTTCAGTTACACAAAATGGCATGCTAACAGCAGACATAGATGAGAGCATGATAGGACTTAGCAATTGAGTTAAGCAATGCTACATCTCAAGTTCGATTCCTACCATTGACATACCCCACCCCATCCCCCCTCTCTCCCCCCCCGAAACAACCCAAAAAAAAGAAAACAAAAAGATAGAGAAAAGTACGATAGGAATGATTACATACAAGGGAACATAGGAGTGGCGTCAATAGGTGATAAGATGAGAGAGAGTAGACTTAAGCGGGCTGGCCATCTGTATGTAGCATAGACCTAATACAACACCGGCGATTTGGTCCAAGTGGAAGGCTCTAAAAGGGCAAGGATATGGCCCGGAAGGATATGAATGGAAGTAGCGAGAAGAGATATGATGGACTTATGGTTTGATTGAGGGTATGGCCTTGATAGAGCAAAATGGTGGAACAGGATTCGTGTAGCCGATCCCAAGTAAATGGGATAAGGCACAAACAATAATGATGATGAGGAAAGCACGATAGGAAGGTACTGCCCTAGGAAGCACGATTGGTACTGCCCTAACTGCCTTAGTCGGTATATTCAAATACTGCCTTTCTTTATTAGGATGTTTTGGTGGGACGAACGAGTAGGGGGGAAGGCAAGAATTAAGGGGAGGCCATAGGAAAGAAGAAAGGCTTTTAGGGATGTTTTAATCAAACCGAGGAATGAAGGTCGGACAATCGTCTTCTTTTCTTGCATAAGGATTGATGAGACTGAATGTCGTTATTTGGGATAGAGAGTTCTTGTTCGACTATAGTTCGAAATGAATTGATTGTTGCCATCTCACAACAACAAATAAAGGATATTGTGTGCATGATCACTTACCCTTAAATAATGCAATCAGTACGTCAATTGTGAAGAAATAATAGGATGAAAACGATCGGTACCAAGTTCCTGGTTGACACTTGAGTCATGATCGTTATGTACTTCAGGTTGTATTAACTTCTTCCTTCTAACATATGTCTTCAACTCCTTTTCCTTGGATGTATCTAGGACATTCCCTCCTTTCCTTGGATGTATCTAGTACAGCCTCAAACCAAAACGTTTTTTGAATATTCATTCCAAACAACAGAATTGTGTGACCTTCAACAAATGTCAGTTTTTTCTCTCAGCAACTCCATTTTGTTGAGAAGTATAAGGACATATCCTCCGAAACTATATTCCTTTATCTCTCAAGTAATCTCTGAGATCCTTGAAGACATTCACCCCCATTGTCAAAATGGAGAACTTTAATATTTGCATTATATTGTGTTCTGATCATTTTGCAACAAACTTGAAAAAGAGTTGCAACTTCATCCTTATGTTTCGTTAAATAAATCTAGGTTAATCAGGTGCCATCATCTAAAAATGTGACAAAAAAGCAAAAACCAAAAAGAGATACAACTTGGGAGAAGGCATACGACTACGTTGATTGGGATATCCTTAATGAGACTTTATTCGCATGGGGTTTGGAGCTTGTTGGCATAGGAGGATGAACGGGTGTCTCTTTTCACCTTCTCAGTCATCATCAATGGCATTCCCAGGGGCCTATTCCAAGCCTCGAGGGGCCTTCAACAAGGAGACCCCCTCTCGCCTTTCCTTTTATCCATAGCAGACG